TTTTAACCTCCCTGGCGGTATGATTATGCAGGATTTGAGCATGCCAAAGCGGTACATTGTTTTTCATGGCAATTTGTTGTTTTATATTGTAGGCCTGTAATTCTTAGTAAATCTTAGGAATAACTCGCCTAAATCTGTCCAAACAAGAGTCTAGTAGACATCCCAGGTATGATAAAGTTTGAAACACGAAATCATAAATTTATAATAAAAAATTATAAGATAATAATGTAAAAAATGCGCTGCCTGATCCTTACCGCAGTCAATAGAGTACCAAGTTCGCACATCACAGAGTTGGGTCGCAGAATCGTCGCTGTCGTCACTTTCAGTGTCTGATGACGAATTTCCCAACGAATAGCTATCACTCAATTCTGCAAGTGATTCTAATTTACTATCGCTGTTTTCTACCTGGTCTGAAACCGCTTTTGACCTAAAGGAACGTTCTAAAGTTTCCAGGCAGAAAGAACTGTAAAAGTGCAGGCAGTCCACTGGACAAAGCTCTAGGGACAAAATTGAAGTGAAGTAGTTTGATACATAAATGTAATTATAGCAGATTACATTGTATTCTGTGTAAATGTCATGTTTTCACTTTTGAATTTCCCGCCGGCTCCGCCCCCCGCTGTGACGCCCGAAAACTAAACTGAATGCCGGCATCGGCCGGGCGCACACAGCAGAGGACACTGTGGGCTCGCAGGGACAAGGTAAGTGACACTTTTGTGCTATCCCAAGTGTGGCTCGGGGGTACCGCTTTTGGTACTGAAAATTAACCCCGAGCCACACTCGGGAATATCGCCAGGCAAGTTAAAGATGATCACTTAGGTAGCGGTACAGAAAAAGTATATTAATAAAAACCTAAAGCACACCTTATAAAACCTAGGGCTCCTCCTCAAGCCTGATATAACTCCATAACATGTCCGTAAAGTCCAAGAACCCTATAGCCCTCATATCATTAAAAACAACATTGTTGCCATGAGATCTTCAAGATAAATTTGACTTATCACAGCACATACTCATGTTTGGAACATGCATTGTCTTCTCTAAAAGGCAGACGCATAATAACTACATGTAGCAAATGTGTACAGTTTGATATATGCTGACAAGCTTCATCTGTCTATGTAGATACAGTGGGTATAGAAAAGAATCACCCCCCCCCCTTTTAAAATCACATTTTGTTGCTTTGCAGCCTGAAATGAAGACACACAGTTTTTGTATTATCAAGGTGTATTGACCCAGTGCAGCTTCTAACATCCAAATGAAAGATATTACGCTAGCTCAGCAAAAAAAATTACACATAACTGTGATCAGCTGTGGTCATTTTGGTTAGCTTGGTATGAAAATAGTTTTCTGGAGCATTTAAGTCCCTGGTAGTGCAACTGAAGCAAACAATCAACTATGTGTGGCAAGGCACTGTCAAAAGATATCCAGGATAAAGTTGTGGACAGGCACAAGTAAGGAAATGTATACAAAACATTTTCAAAGGTTTTATCAATGCATAAAAGCACAGTGAAGTCTATTATTAAGAAGTGGAAGGTATTTGGTACAAGACAGACCCTCCTGGGATCAGGACCAATGCTCCAAACTGGATAAAAGAGCCAGGAGGAAACTGGTCAGAGAGGCCACCAAGAGGCCTACAACAACTCTGAAGCAGTTGCAAGAATTTATGACCGTGGTCATTGTGTGCATGTGTCTACAATATCACAAATTTCCCCACAAATGTGGCTTGTGTAGGAGGGTTGCAAGAAAAAAAATCCACTCAAGAAAGGCCACATGCTGTCATGACTGAGCTTTGTCAAAACACACCTTAAAGATTCTGAGGCCACATGGAAAGAGGTCAGATGAGACTAAAATTGAATTGTTTGGCCTCAACACCAAACGATATGTCTGGCGGAAATCCAATACAGCTCACCATCTAAATAGCACCATTCATACAGTAAAGCATGGAGGTGGTAATATCCTGTTATGGGGGTGTTTCCCTGCAGCAGGAACTGGAGCACTTGTCAGGATGTATGGGACAAAATACCGTCAAATTCTTGAGGAAAATTTGTTGCCTCTGCCAGAAAGTTTTCAATGGGAAGAAGGTTTACCTTCGAACATGACAATGATCCAAACCACACAGCAAAAATTACCACACAGTGGTCGAAGTAGAAAAATTTGAATTTCCCTGCATGGGCCTAGTCAGAGCCCAGACTTAAACCCCATTGAAAATCTGAGGAATGACTTGAAGACTGCAGTCCACAAACGGTCACCATCAAATTTAACTGAATTTGAGCAGTTCTGCAAAGAAGAGTGGGCAAATATTGCAAAGTCTAGATGTGCAAAGTTTGTAGAGACATATCCCAACAGACTATAGGTTGTAATTAAAGCAAAAGGTGGTTCAACAAAATACTGACACAAGGGAGTTATCTTTTTTCCAACTCGGTGATTCTGATTTTGAATTATTTTTTTCCTGACATGTTGGTGTTACATCTTTCGTTTGGATGTTATAAGTAGCACTGAGTAAATACAGCTGAATAAAACAAAAACTGTGTTTGTCTTCAGTTCAGGCTGCAAAGCAACAAAATGTGATTAATTTAAATGGGGGTGACTCTCTTTATTTTACCCACTGTAGGTGGATAGAGTGGGGCTAACTGCCTTTTGTTTTCTTGTTAGTGTGTTTTTTTTAGCCTGGTGTATGCCCCATAAGTCTTTGTTTTGAACTATTGTATGTAATTTGTTTCAATAAAGAGAATTAAAAATAAAAACATGAGTTCAAAGTGACTTTCCCTTTAAGTGATTTATGTCCACTCCCATTTTTGCAAGATTGGCTACCCGCCTCCTGGCATTTGTCCAGCTCTGATATAAGGGCTATTCAGTTCCTGAACTTTATGGACATGTTTTGCTGGTATTATATAGCTATATGTTGTGGACATATCCCACTGCAGGTGGCCCCCTAGGTCTTATGTGTATTTTGGGTTTTTATTAATATACATGTTTTTGTACTGCTTCCTAAGTGGTTATTGGCCGGGAAGCCAACTTGATGCTGATTGGCTGGGAAGCCGGTTTCCTGGCCAATCACAATCAAGCAGGCCTAACAGCATGGAGCCGGCTTCCCTGGCAATCAGGAAGCCAGACGGCATGTCATTACCCAGGAAGCCTGCTCCATGCCAGCGGAAGCACCATTATTGGTATTCGGTATCTGCGAGTACCAAAAGCAAAATATTGGTACTCGATACCGAAGAACCGGTATGGGTGCATGCCTAGTTTTGATTAAAACAATTTTTTTGTATTGGGACAAGTAGATTGTCATGAAGGACAATTAGTTTCGACCCCGCTTTAGCCCTTTGTACAAGTAGTTTTTTTTTTTTTTAATTAAATTTCCACACCTCTGACATATTCTTAAAATGCTTTTTAAATTGGGCCATAGCTGACCTCTGTAGCTGGAGAAATTCATCCTCAAAGATAACATTGAAATAACAGCTTCCTCTGACAGCAGGACTTTCCAGCTATTTATAAATAGACTGCAATTGGAACATAATCTCTCTACCTGCATCTACATAGTTCAGGATTTGTTTTGAAACTTGAGTTTACTCCTGGTAGTTGTAAATAGTGCTTAACCATGTTTTTAATACTGGTTCAGAAACATGTCTTTTTTTTTTTTATTGTAGAAATATTACCCACCAGATTTTGATCCTTCTAAGATCCCCAAGTTAAAACTTCCAAAGGATCGGCAGTATGTGGTGCGACTGATGGCTCCATTTAACATGAGGTAAGCTCAACTATTAGAATATTCAAACTGTTCTTTATGGGTAATGATGTCCATCTAAGATTTGCTAAACAAATCCTTTACAGGAAACACTAACCCAGATAGCAAGCAATTGAGCTGCAAGTTTGAAAATGACTTGCTAAACTATTGCTAGACTCGCCAAGCTTCACAATTTTGTTGCACAATTACAGCAAGGTTGCATTGCAAGTCTCCAGATCAACGTGCTTTGCAAGAGTGCTGTAACTAGAGCTGCAACAGTTATTCGATTAAGTCGATTAAAATCGACGATTGAAAACGTTGTCAACGTTTTCCATCGTCGATTCATCGGCTAAAATTCAAATTTCCCGCTCGCCACTTACGCCCGCCGCTTACGCCACGCCCACGTCGTTTAAGCCGCTCGCGCCTACGCCGGTATACCCGCTCACGCCACGCACACGCTGAGGACATGTGTCTGGCCCTCTCCTCCCGGTGAGCTGCCCGATTCGCCGCTGCCCGCCGACATGATCAACGCCGCTGCCCGCCGACAACACCAAGGTAAGTGGAGATCGGCCGGGAGCTTTTTAATGCTGCCTGTGTGTGTTTTTTGTTTTTTTT